CACCGCAATGTCACAATTGCCAGGACTACGGACATACAAAGAACTATTGCAGCCATAAAGCTCGATGTGTCAAATGTGGTGAAAACCATCTGACAATCGAGTGCACCAAGGACCAAAATAGTCCAGCCAAATGCGCACTATGCGCTAAAGACCACACCGCAAACTTCAAAGGATGTCCAGCATTTCAGTCAATTTTTAAAAAATCTGCTCAAAAGTTTCAACCAGTCAAAGATCCTGACCCTCACTCTCAACAGTCTCAACCCAGAACCAAAACCAAATCACATGCAGAAGCCACCAATAACCAAAATAAAATCACGGAGCAAATATCAAATACCTTTTCAAAACTCACATCCAATTTAAGCTCTTTAATTAATCCATTAATTTCCCTCCTTACCTCAGTCTTAAACACACTAATAGCTAAAGACATTATCTCCCCATAATACTATCGCACACTGTTTCATAATACCTACATAATCTTATCTTTTCTTAGACCTATCCTCATTAGTTTTATCTCAAATATTAATAGAAACTATTTACTATTAACTATCACTATTAACGACCATAATTGTTAATTTAGAATTTATATTTAATTATTACTATTATATTTCTTTTAACCGTATCATTATTATAATTAATATATTTGTAATAGCACCTGGTGTGCTGAAACATTTTTAGAGAATAAATAAAAAAAAAAAAAAAAAGAGTTAGGTACACCAAAAACCAAAATCTTACCTATATTGTAATACTCTTATGAAAGTGAAAAAAAATACGGTCGATGGGTCAAACCCCATTGACCCCCCCTCCCCATGATTACTCAACTGGTTATGTAACTTATAAGTTATATATTGTTATCCTTATCAGTTATCAGTGATAAATAATAATATTGTTTTTGGATGGGGGAATCAATAATCACGATAAAGAAAAATAGCAAAAAATAAATAAAAATAATAACTAGGTAGTCAATACTTAAAACACAAACACATATCATAAGTAGACAAAACGTATATTACTAATATGTAAGAAAATAAAAAACTTTGGGGGGATCTATCCCCCATATCACCCCCCGTGAAAACGCCCATGTTCATAGCCTATACAGATCACTACGTTTATCGTCTGTGCATTTATGTGTTTACCATTAACCGAGTCGTGCAGTGTGCACGAGTAAGTAGAGAGTTTAAAAAATGTAAACATCGGATTTTTATAAAATTATTAATTCTGAAAACTAGGGTAGTGTTTCTTCAAAATCATGGATTATTACCGAAAACACATGAAATTGATAATTTCGAAAAATGTGGTGGTGCCACTAAAATGTGTGTACAAAAAAAGAGATTGACATCTGGAGACGCGAGATTATAAATCTATCAGGTGCGTTGTAAAAGGGTGTCAAATTTTTAAATCAATCTTCAATTCGATCAAATAATTTATTTTTTACCTACACCTTAATTCTCGTTGTCATTCAAATCTAAGTTTGGGTCAGATATTAGAAGATATTACGCGGAAAACGTAAGTACAATCGGGGAAGTATTTTATTAGGTGATCGGCGATACAACAGCTAACTCTCATAGTTATGATACCTCAAATTCTGAAAAAGAAAATCAACCAGTAAATAACCCTAATTATGGACTTAAGATCTTAAGTCCTTGGGTATATGGTTTATGTTGGAAAAATGGTGATGTACTGATGTATTAGAACGCCATAAGCGGTTATTATGAAATTTATTTTTTATTGTTGATAGAAGAAATAAAAATACATTAATTCCGAATTCCGATCATACAAAGATAAGTTTTTCCGGGAACTACCATATAATATCGGATTAATGGAAATCATACTCCAGTCTAAATGATATTGGGTATAATCATTTAACTGTCAATCATTCTGAAAATTTCGTGAACCCGTAAATGAGGCTAACACGTAAACAATAGAAAGTTTATGGTCAGTATTAAAATTTAATATATTAAGAAAAATGGATGGGACTAATGAAAATCTAATACCATGCCATTTAATTGAATGTTGGTAGCGCTCAATAAAGAATCGGAATAATTTATTTATACATTTTTTGAAAGATATGAAAAAAGTTTCATAAAATGTAATATTATAACAATATTATCATATTTTGAACATAACTTATATATTTTGATTTTTGACTTATACTAATTGTATCATAATTAATTTGTTTTATATACACAAAAAACTTTAATATATTATATACAGGCATAGCGCCAAGGCGGTCTACCCCCCAGAAAACAGTTCAGCCCCCTTGCCAGCCCACCACTGAAAAATATGTAAGGTATATAATAAAGTCATAAAACATTATTTTTAAAAGAGCTACATTAAAGAATATATAAAGGAACTATCATTTTTGTACATAATTATTCGTTATGAATATAGTTGGTGAAGGTCTGTGATTAAACATTTTCTTACATAAAATATAAATAAAATATATTTGACATTATTCTTAAAACATTTTTAACTATCAAGTTTTAAGTTAAAACTTAAACCTAAATTAAACTTAACTTAAACTTAAATTAGAAACCTCCAGAATAAATTTGAATTGTCTAAAAAAACCACTTGATAATAAGTCTGCTTTTCAAAACGCCATTGATATAATGATTTTACAACTACTGTTGACATCGACTATGGTAGTACGAAAACGGAAAAATTGCAAACTATACATTATTTGAATTCCCATTGTGTTTTAGGTTAATTTTCATGAGTGATAAACTTTATTTTTCTCACCATAAAATCTGAAATCGCACTTACCCTGGTTAGGCACTTATATAAGTATACCCCACTCCACCTTAAAATTCAGAATAATCAAATGACAGATTATGATTATTGCGACAATGTGACATTGTGTATTTGTTAAGTATAAAAAAATCTAAAAAAAGAAGATACACTCAGTCCTTTTTGACTTTTTATAAATATTTTAAGTTCAAATTTGGGCGGAATAAGATAATATTTAAATGAAGAATCAGAATTTTAGTAATTATATTTAATATTAAAAATATACCTAGGTATTTTCGTGGGTACCTACTACCTACCTACTTGGCTACTTTTAAAGTACCCATATTATATTATTATTATTATATTTTAATATTTTATGTACACAATGACATTTTGAAATTCAATGTTTACAACATAAGTTGATACTGTACTTGTGTACTACACTATTGATAAATACCTACTATTAGTAAAATAAATTACTTTAATAAAAATAAATCATAAATTATATTTAGTATTATATTAGTAACTACTATATTCAGTAATATATTTTGGTAACCTACCCACTGTACAGGCGTAAAGTAGAGCAGTAATTACCCGCATTTTAAATTTTAAAAGTACCAATTCCTTAATTTATAATATATTGTCTCTTACTAAACATTTCTAGTACCTACAAGAACCTACGATATAAGTACCTAGTATTCAAAACTTATGTTTAGAAACCTAAAACTAGCTAATAACAATTTATAATGAATAACTATAATATAATTGATACCTCATTTGGTGCAACTATAGAGTTCAAATATTGGGGGTTCAAAATATATACTTTTTCCTAGTGTGGGACTTGTAAAACTGTTGTAATGCTGTGTACCCTGTGATGGCCATTCTAAATTTCAAACTAAATCATAGGTGGTAGTCCATTAAAATTACTGAGGAGGCTAACATTTTTAACATCACTATGGGTGGGGGAGGGGCTTCGATCCCACACAATTAAAAACTGTATATTTTTGGGGAGTAATGGGATATTTAGGAGGGATAAGCCCCCTTAGCCCTCCTGCGATTTGAGCTTATGCACTATATCAAAACAGTGCACATTTTTCCGTAAGTCACAACCATATTATCCGTAGGCTATAAGACCATGACTTAAGTTAGGATTTTGGACTATTATTTATATAATTTTTATTTGTTTAAAATGTGGGGGGCACCTAAAAGTGGATGGGAATTTCATAAACATTTCAGAATGCTACAATTATAAATACGACCCTGTGGTCTGCATGCATACATGGCCAAATAATTATTCGTGTTGTCAATACAATGTTAATTCGTATTTCATGCTCTTAATTTAGGTTAGAATTAAATATTAATTAATTTTTATAATAATTTTAAATTTACATTATCAGTAATCACTAATCAGTTATCAGTAATCATTAATCACGTCGTGTCCGAGACTCCGAGTCACGGACTAAGATATACAGGACTGGACACGACAAGGTTGGAGGGTGTGTGGGGGTTGACTACGAAATGTTTTACAACAGGCAGTGTTCGGGGGGATATTTTCCTTTTAGCATTAGTAGCGCCGTCCTAGTGGATACTTATGGAACTAGAACACATCATACAAATTTCTAGTTCCATAAGTATCCACTAAGACGGCGCTAGTAATGCTAAAAGGAAAATATCCCCCCGAACTCCGCCTGTTGTAAAACATTTCGTAACCACAATATTCATCTCGTGTCCAGTCCTGTATATCTTAGTCCGTGCTCCGAGTGTTTTCGATATCGATCCATTTGGAAAATGATATCGTCCGGTATCTCAATGTTGTATAATCTCAAAACTCTGGTAGTTGGTAACCACGGCGGTACGGCCGGCTAAACCGTCGCTACGGTCATGCCCGTCAAACAAAAACAAACGCGTTCCGCCATTTTGTGCGCTTCATGCCTTCATAGTTCATATGAGAACGAGGCGGCGTTTCGTTGTACATCTGTCATCTGATCTACCGTCGTCCGTGCTCCGCTCTCAGTTGTCGGTAGACAATTTTAAATTATTTTTACAATATTTTAACGTCGTATACTGTTGTCTTAAACAACGAAAACGTTGAACCTGTCACCATCGAAGAAGTACGTGGGCTCGATCGATCGTATAGCTGTCTGTCAACTATATATTCCACAGGGATTATGTGTTGTTGACGTTAAGACGTGCGACACCGTTGTACATTTTTAAATATTATTTCGTCACAGTCGTTATCGAAAACCGTCAAGCTGTCGACTAACGCGGTATCGGAAATGGCGTTGAGCACAACGACCAGCCAACCGGTACAGAACAACGTCCAATCGTCACCAGGAACCGGGTGGCCTAGGCGCACCGCTCCAGTCAAATCGTCTACTTGCCCGTCGCTCAACAGACATATAAATTTGTTAGTATATAGTCGTGAACTAGTTAGGTATTTCCAAAGGATTCCTATCCTTTTTTTTACTAGTTGTAGTAGTCATCAATTTAACATTTGATGACTATTGTGTTACACTAGTTTTGCAGTATAACTACTGGATCTAGGTAGTATGATTAAGATTAGGCTTCCTTATAATATTAATAAATAGAAAGAAAACAATTTTTCTTAAATTTGTTTGGTGATGGGTATTTGTCTTTCAAATATTAGTAATAGATTATGTCAGTGTCGAATTAAAAAATTAAAGCTACTGTTTACATAAGTTGTATAATGGTATGTAATCTATATTTCTTTTGTTCTAGGTATCCTCTATCAAATTATAAATTTGGTACAAAAGAACCTTTATTTGAAAAAGATCCATCTGTACCAGCTAGATTTCAACGAATGCGTGATGAATTTGAAAAAATTGGTATGCGCCGAAGTGTTGAAGGCGTTTTAATAGTTCATAAACATGGGTTGCCGCATGTTTTATTATTGCAGTTGGGCACAACATTTTTTAAATTGTAAGATTAAATTAATATTTTAATTTATTAAGCATGACATAGCCAAATGACAAGAAATCAGAATATATATCATTCAAATTTCAATACTTATAATATTTATAGATTTTTTTTTAATAATCTTTTTTTAGGCCAGGTGGAGAACTAAATCCAGCAGAAGATGAGGTGGAAGGACTTAAACGATTACTAACTGAAGTAACTTCACATTTCTTTATCATTAATTGTTTATATTTGCACACTCGAAAATATTTTTATTGCATTTACTTGTCAGACTTTAGGCAGGCAAGATGGTGTTCAGCCAGAATGGACTGTTGAAGATACCATTGGCAATTGGTGGCGACCTAACTTTGAACCTCCAACTTATCCATATATACCACCACACATAACTAAGCCCAAGGAACATAAAAGACTTTTCTTAGTTCAGCTACCTGATAAAGGTAAGATAAATTAATAGTGAATCAAAACCCCAAGATTTGTGAGTATAAGTATAACGAGTTATTATTTTATCAATTAGTAATTTCTGAGAATACAATTATTATGAGGTTTATTTTATTTTTCCAAGGTTTAATTTCTAAATTTATTATTTTATGTTTTGGGTCATAGTTGACATGCTCTGAAGTTAAATTTGAGTATTTTCTATTTTTAACTTACGTGTATATTACATCACCTAAGACCTGTGTAAATTACATTATATTATTTTATATTTCACAGTTTGCAATGGCAACATGATTTGCTGGTTCAGAAAGGATCATCCTGGTTGATTGTAAAACATCACATACAAGAAATGTATTTTTTTTTATGAAAATTGTCTAGGAAAATTCATGATAGGGGTTCCTTATAAGATTATTGTTCTAATCACTAATTACTGTTGTGTAGTGAACATCTGATTTTAAATCAGCTGAAACTAAATACAAACAGAAGGGGCTTAAGTTAATGTTAAGATGGTAATAAAAGAATGTATGCACTTTCTGAATGGGATTGAGTGCATTGTACGTGTATTTTCCATTATAATTAATTAATTATATTCTCGGGGATTTCAATTTTTTTTCTGATTTACAGTGTGTCATAAATCCTTTATAAAATTTCGTAAAGTATGAAGATTTGTTAAAATACATCTCATAATACCCATTTCCGGTTTTTTTTTTATTTACAAGAATCGAAGTAATCAATTTTATTCTATGTGTAAAGACATTGAAGGTTACTTTTTAAAATTTAAAAGTCATATAAAATTTATAATTATTTGGTATAAATCTTAAATTAAATTTGATGTTGACACTCTGTAATTTTTTTTGTATTCAAATCAAACTATTGGTGGGATGACTATTTGAGTTTTGTTAACGTCTCTCTGTTTATAGGTTGTAAAAATTAAAATATTTAATTATTAACTATTTTCATTTTCTGAAATTTTATTATGAGTATATGCGATAAACCAATTTGTTGTTGTATTATATGTAAAACATAACAAATTTACTCCTTGAGTAATAGAAACTTGAGGGTTTAGGTTAATACTTAACAAAATTATATACTAAATAGTAAATATCTAATTTAAGTACAAACATCATCATGTTCTGTCACAATATTTTTTTTTTGTAATATCTTAATTTTAAATTATGATATTGATGTTAAAAAATTTGATTCTATATTTATATCGTGTTTAGAATTAAAATATATGCAGAATTAAAAAACTGTAACACAGATGATCGCTTTATAAAGATATTAATCTAAACCCTATAGATTTGATGAAATGAAACATTAAAATTGATATGAATTACACATATTCATAAACAACAAGAATGTCATGTCTTTTTGAATGTACAGTTATAATATTCAATTTAGAATATTAAGAATGCATGTTATTAGATTCTGACGGATAGCAAAACTAACAACTATGTTTACTTTGTATCTCGTTTTGTTTTAGTAGTTAAATTATTATTTTTGTTGCAATTATTAAACTATTTATATTATGTTCTAATTTCCCTTTATGAGCTATATGTTAAAATGGTTAATAATTAATAAATAAAGAGTAGTGTAATATGTATTAATTATTAAAACAAAAATTAATATGTATATTAATTGATATCGGTGTAGTAATAATTGGTTGGGGGTTTATTTTGTCAGTAAATTATTTTAAAATATCTTATTATGTGTACAAGATTTGTAATGTTTTAAATAAAATTATTACATTTAAGATTATTTATCTAAATAAACTATTTTTCAATTTAAATATTTAATGAGGCCATTGAAAATTAAAATTGTCCTTAAAGTATTAAAAAAGTATTTATTTATAAACATTTTTACTTAGCCGTTGTTGGCATATATGTTTGTTAAAAATAATGTCAAGTGATTATTTAAATATAGTAATTCTGTCTGCAGTTAAAATAATGTTGTATTAATTCCAATGTTGTATTTGTAAGCATTTCAAAAAATTCCATTTAAATTTAAAAAATACAATTTAAGAACTATTGTACAAAGTCATTCAACATCTGCTTATCCTTAAATTTTATTATGTACATTTGTTCTGTACAGATGTTTTTAAACGAACATTAAAATCAATTGTAAAATTATGTATAGGTGTAAATTGTTACTCTTTTTAATTGAAATATACTATTTTATGTATTAAATTTATTGATTCATTTGTAAATTCAATAAGATTATATAATCAAACTTTCTGTTTATAAATTATGTGGTAATTTGATTGTTCTTTAGCATTGTTTGCTGTGCCGAAAAATTACAAATTGGTTGCAGCCCCTTTGTTTGAGCTGTTTGATAACGCTCAAGGATATGGATCTATTATTTCCTCATTGCCTCAAGCACTCGGAAGGTAACATTATGATTGTTTCACATATTTAATAAGGTTATCAATTTTATTATTTTTACTAACATGTATAATTTTTTTTTTCAGATTCAACTTCATTTATATGTAATTTAGAACTTAGCTGTAGGATATTTTAAACATTTGCTGCCCATCAATCGTTGAACAGATTTTTCTACGATTTAATGTAATTGTAAAGTAGATTTATTATCAGTAAATTGTATTGAATTGAGAAATTGTCTGACCATTTGAAACTATTACAAACTATCGTCACCATTTTATGAAATATTATAATTTACATATATACACCTAATGTTTTAAATTATTGTTGTGGGTTTGTAAGTGATTTATAGCCATTGATTTTTGTAAATTACCCAATTTCCCATTAATTGCAGTTTGATACTGTATTAGAATTTTAAATATCTATCTTAATTTTATTTTCATTATCGTCGGTTGAATAAATACATTAAACCAAACTTTCTGTACTGTATTATAGTAATTTGTGTAACAGATTAACTGGTTATTTTTGTACTATAATAAATTTAGTATTACCCATCAAAATTGCTCTGCTGTTATTATAATAGAAAAACGCTGTTTTATTTTTTCGTTTTCTATATTAATACAACTCGATTAATAAAATATTCTTTGATCTTATTGAATCAAATTTTGTATTTAAAACTTTTTATGATTAAATGCCTTTTGACACATTAATTTATTATTTTCAACATAGTATTTCTACTTCTTACAGTGACTGCGATAGTTACAACCACAACCCTACCTTAAAATGCCTGTCCTGAACTTATACATAATACTTTGTTCATGTTATATAATTCTATAAAAAAATAAATTAAACTTTGTTGTAGGTACACAAAAATAATATGTACTTGACATTATTTAATATACTACTATATTTTGTACAATAATACTACCTACAACCTATTTTTATTTATAATTAATGGTATTACATAAGATAATGGTCCTTTATATTATATAGGAAATGAATATATATTTGATAGAAGTATAATGTGTATATTATATATACAGAGATTAACCAATCATGCCAACCCCCTTTTTTCTTCAATAATGTAGTCATTGAAAATTTTTAAAAATAGTTTTGACTAGCACATTAACTTTTCGTACAAATAATATTCAATGATAATGGGTTTGGAAGCTGTAGGTATAGATATGGTGATTTGAAAATTTTTGTAATTAATAATGATCTATCAACAATCAACATTTTTTAATTTTTAAGCATGATCCAAGACCTAAGGAATAACTGAGAAACTACTCGTTTAATTATATTTACCTATTCTAAAAATCAGAAGTTAAACTAATTAATTATTAAAGGAAAAATAGGGGTAAGCGTGCACGGATAAATCACTGTATAAGTTATTTTCCAAAATTAACTTTCACTGTAATCGTCTTATTATATTATTTACTTGTGTAGTAGTGCGATTAATGTGTATGGACATATTGTTGATTTGCTGTATTGCCTGTAATCTGTATTATTTTTTTTATACGTCTGCCTAATACTATGTATATTGTGTTTTAATTTGTCTAAAAAAAATATGTCAAACAGAAATAACTGAACTGATTTCTTCATTAACTCAAAAATAGTTATCATAATTAGCTCATAAGTAGTTATTGGCCCCACTTCCTGGTTCCACCATTGCTCCAGACTCCAGTCTAACCATTTATAACTGTATAACTCTTAATTTAAACAATATAATATTTCAAATTGCAAGTAAAATAATTTCAAGTAAATAATGTGAATTTGATTACCTACTTCATAATCGTTTATTCCTTGATTGTGATTTTTCATGAATAAATTTAGTGTGACCAGATTATTGCAGGTTCACAAACCAAACATTTTTGATTTGGTACTTTATAAGTTATAATTATCTATTGTGTATTGGTACGAATCCCGGAAAAAAAGTCCGACAAGAAAATTATTATACGGAAAAAAAGTCCGGTTTTCATAATTAATAATATACATGATTGGTAGGTATGATCTAATATAATTTAAAACTATAAAGAATTAAAATTTCACGTCGTTATACAATCTACAGAAATAGAAGTTATTAAGGGTAAGGTAGATAGAAAAAATATACTAGAATATATGATAGAAAAATCGTGTACATTAAAAGGCAATAAAGATAGCACAATTAATCTGTATTATAAGATAAAATATGAAATACCCAACGTATACAATATCTAGACACGCGGTAGCGTGTCAAGCCAAGTTCTAGCTAACAGAACTGGCGAGCAGCACCGTGTGTAATATTACACGAACCATTTGGAGCCACTTTTGACCCCCTCATAACTCAAAAACTATTCCACATAAACATGTCAAATTTGGCTCATATATTGAGACTAACGAGATACATATGTGCTCTAAATTTCATAAACACACTTCAAACCGTTATTTAGATATTAACGTCCGAAAATCGTCATTTTTATCACTGACTTACCTATAGATCAAAATTCTAACCCAGTTCCAGATGACCTAGAAAGTTCAAATTTGGCATACAGATAGGTAGTTAGGTAAATACAAAGGAAAAAATCAGAAACTTGAAAATTTTTAATTTAAAATTTTTTAATTTTTTAATCAATTGATTTTATTATAATTTTGCAATTATTTTATCTATTATGTTTAATTTTTCAATTTATTAATGAATTGCCTCTAATTTAATGTAATGTAATGTTGACTTAAATTACCTTTCCCGTATCGCCGCTCCAAAAATACGACCCGCGAGCAGGAACATACTTTTTTTTCTATCTATGTATGTAATTAATATAATTTTTTTTAAATATTACAATTAAAATAATTAAATAATTATTCTTACAAATTATGAATTATCCACCCAACAGTAGAAACTACAGTCAATAAAATTATGATAATTAAAAATATACTCAAAAAGAGTTACAATAATTGTATATTAATTTTACATATATTTTATACTCTGTATATACAACGGAAAATATTTTATAATAAATATTATTATTAATATTAGTAAATGAATTATATTATATAGTAATAAACTTTATTTATAGAATACGTCATGGCTAGGTTAGGTTAGGTTATAATAATTTGCATACAAAAAGTAATGATATCCCACCAAAAACATATATGTAAAATGAGAGCCAAGTTCAATACTATAATATATGCCTTGGTGGTTGACTTCAACGACAAAAGAAGTGAGATCTAAATGGGTGCCAAGTTAGGATAATATATTGAAGCCTAAGGTCTGACTTGGCTACGAATTATATATTATAGCATTTGCAAGTTCTAAAGCTTTGAGTTCTTATTTTATTCTTCGGAAAATCATCTTCACTCTTCCATTACTGTTTTAGTAGGTACTTATAATAATAATTCGTATATGAAAAGTAGCCAAGTCACACCTTAGGCTTCAATATATTATCCTAACTTGGCACCCATTTAGATCTCACTTCTTTTGTCGTTGAAGTCAACAACCAAGGCATATATTATAGTATTGAACTTGGCTCTCATTTTACATATATGTTTTTGGTGGGATTGATGTTACGATAAGAAATCTAGTCGTTGTCCACTCTCGTAGTTATTCACATCGAAATGGAAGAAGTAGTAATTTTGAAATCGGGTAAAAATATTATTTGTAATGGTTTTGCTTACACAGTTAATCATAATCTGTCAACAAGCATCCGCTGGAAATGCTCTCAAAGATCATCTAAAAAGTGTCCGGGTATTTTAATCACTTCAAAAGGTAAATTACAATAAATAAATAATAATAAATTAAAAATAATTATAAAAAAAAAAAATTACTGTAGATATCACTAACCCTCGGTTAATCAAGAATCATTCACATGCTGGTGATCATAATTTAGCGACAGTTGAGAAAGCTAAAGAAGACATGAATAATCGAATGAAAATAACAACAAATAAACCATGCCAAGTATTTTCAGCTGTAGTAAGTGAACTTCCTCAAAATTGTTTAAAATCATTTAGATCTGAAGAAAGTATTAAACGTGCACTTAGAAACCGAGGTATTCCACCGAAACCCAATTCTTTGGCTGAACTGACAATTATTAAAGATGAATGGGCACTTTACAAAAACGAACGGTTTTTGCTATATGATAACAAATTAAATTCCGATGACAGGATAATTATTTTTGCACTTGACGAAGGATTAAAATATTTAACTGAAGCACATATTTGGTATTGTGATGGTAATTTTTCGTTAAGTCCATAAAACTTTCTGCAGTTATATGTTTTTCGAGTGAAAAAATATGATGTTTTTGTAACTGTAGTTTACTGTTTTCTTCAAAAAAAAAATTATAGTACTTACAAAGAAGTTTTTAGCGTAATTCTAAAGGAATGTGACAATCGACAATTTTACCCGGATCCACAAATTATAAATTTAGATTTTGAACAAGCTACGTATACATAAATGCCGCCCAGTGTATTCTCGGCGAGCACGTCCGTATACAAGGTTGTTTTTATCACTTAAAATACGGTCGTCTCAAAATACGTATCGCAAGATACAAGAAGTAGGATTACAAGCCAAATATAAAACGGATGATACCTACATTAAGTCATTTTTTTGCTATGTTAGACGGGTTAGCATTTTTGCCAATGAATAAAGTTTACGACAGAATGCAATATTTAAAGACGGTTTGTACAGAAGAAGCTACAGAGGTTCTTGATTATTTCGATTCCACATATGTCAATGATACATATAGAAAGTCAGGAAAAGGTATGGCTATACAATTTAAAAAAAATAAACCGTTATTTCCACCAGAAATATGGAACGTTCACGAGGCTACGATAAACGGTCAACATCGTACAAACAATATTTGCGAGAGTTGGAACTTGGAACAACCGTTTTACGCATCTTGTCGGACAGTGGACACGCGCACCCAACCGTCTGGAAGTTAATTTCTAAAATGCGTGAAGAGTTAGGAGTAGATAGAGCTAAAATAGCGTTAGAAGAATTAGGTGAAGGGATTCCAACACCAAAAAAACGTACCGAATACCGATGAACTTTTAAAAAACTTAGGTTTTGAAGAATTTTTAATTAATATTGGCCATTGCATTCGAAAACGAAATAAATATTAATTTTAATTTTAATTATT